TGGGTGCCATTGGCTACTAATAGTGTACTACCTGTACATGTTTCTCTCCCTCTCATTAGTGGGTCACAAAATAGAGTAAATACAATATAATAAATATATATTGTAGAAAACATAAATACATTGTGGACAATATAAATTCATAAATTAAAAAAAATATATATACTATTGTATATTAATAAAAATATATGTAATATATATTAATTAGATTGATTAATTAATAATTATATATTGATTAATTGTATTCATTCAATTTCATTGTTATGTTTTTATGTATTCATCTTTTATTACTTATTTATGTAATTTTTATTTACTTATTTATCTATCTTCGTCGGTTATCAAAGTAAAAAAGTCGATTTCTACACAGGGAATTACTGTGAAATTTTCTTTAGGAGTTACTTGTTGACGTGGGATTGAGCTGGAACCATTCAGGGGGAATGACACCTGGCCTGAACCGACTGACTGATTGACCCCGCTAACCCCCACAAACATCTGCAGGCCTTGAGGCCCTTCCTAAAGGTATCTACAGGCTGTATGCCCCCTTTGCTACCCACGACGGGGGCCTACTGGCAGCACTATGTACAAGCCTACAAGGGACAAATGGGACTCGGTACCGGAACCATATTCCAAGACGCGTTGTTTTTTTTTTTGTTTTTTTTTTTTTGTTTGTTTGTTTTGCCTAAGGCTTACATAAACTTTAAACCACCTGTATCGGTTGCCGAAAGCCCCCGGATACATTCATCCTGGTGTGGGGGTCTAGGCCACCAGTACGCGGTGGGGCTAGCAACGCTTTTGCCTGTTTCAAATGTGAAGGCCGGATTTTTTTATACACCGACCTTACCTTACTGCACAGGTTCAAATTGCAATCCATGGCCAAAAAAAGACGGACATGTGCAGATCCACAGCCGGCATGTTAGAAACGTCGAGAGGAATAGCAAAGATCCAAGGCTCGCGGTATTCGGTCTATGGTGACGTTGCTGGATCCCGCTGAAACATCAATACGGGCAAAAGTAGTAACCAATCCACTTCCTGGCGCACCGCGAGCCTTGTCCCCTCATTCAAAATTGTGACAATCCTAGCCCCGAGGGTCAGCCTGGACACAGATCAACATTTCAGCAGTGCAGTGTACTGCTCTTTTGTTCTGTGTATTTTTCACAAATGAGTGAGTTTTTAAAAAACGAGTGAGTTCAGGTCCATCGGGACATCCGTTAAAGGATTGACAACAACAATTGTAGGCCCCAAAGGGCAGCCTGGACTCCCGTCAACTTTTCAGCAGTGCAGAATGCCGCTTTTTTGTGCTGTGTTTTTTTTTTTAAGAGAGTGAGAATAGGTCCTTTGCGACATCCGTTAAAAGGACTGACAATAACGATCATAGCCCTGAGGGGCAGCCTGGACTCGGATCAATTAACAATGATTCAGTAGAGCAGCCTACTGCTCTTTTGTTCTGTGTTTTTTTTTTTTTTTTTTTTTTTTTTTTTTTTTTTTTTCCCCAAGAAGATACAGAGAAGATTAGCATAGCCTCGGCACATCCAAGGATGACACACATTGATCAAGAAATGGTGCGAATTATTATAAAAAAAAAAAAAACACGGAAAAAAAAGAAGCGAGATTGTACCTCAGGGTCTCCTGTTGCTTCGCCTGAGGTTGTCAGCGATTGCACTACCATCTTCACCCGAATAGAACGCCCGGTCATTATAGCTGAATGTGGACTGAAAATTGCACCATATACGGCTATAATGACCGGGTGTTCCATTCGGGTGAAGACGGTAGCTGGCTCAACTGGATAAGGTTAGCATAGCCTCGGCACATCCAAGGATGACACACATTGATCGAGAAATGGTGCAAATTGCCAAATTATATATATATTATATTTATATATAGTCAAACAGAGCTGCCCGGTAAACCGTAGGCAGAGAGGGAGAAGAGGAAAACAAACGAGGGGGTGGCAAACTGTTTCGTCGGAGTTTCACCGACTCATCAGGAGGCGGAACCCTCGACAGTCTGCAGAATCCCCTAACTGATTACACTGTAAGCGATAATCCACCTTAACCCCGGCTGTGGTTAAGCATCAACGACTGCCCGACAACTGATACCCTGAGGTTATATATATATATATATCGCCAATATAGGCAGTTCTGTTTGTGACGATATATATATATATCGTCACAAACAGAACTGCCCGGTAAACCGTAGGCAGAGAGAGAGAAGAGGACAACAAACGAGGGGCTGTGACAAACTGTTTCGTCGGAATTTCACCGACTCATCAGGAGGCTGAACCCTCAACAGTCTGCAGAATCCCCTCACTGATTACACTGTAAATGATAATCTACCTTAACCAAAATCAAAGTACACTATCACTCACCCACACCAGATGG